TACTTTACTATGCTCATGAGAAATTTGAGCACTAGGATCATTGCTAAATTTAGACTAGTTTTTGATCATCATTCCTACATTTAGCCTAATACTCGACCATCATATCTAAATTTGGCAGTAAGGAAAATGTTTTTTTAACCAAAATCATGTGTAACCCTTTTTTTAAAAAATTTTATTGCATTTTTGAACGAATCACGAAATTGCAATTTTTGAAATTTGAGCGTGTGGCACAGCAATAGGAGGTCTTTAGACCGAGCCAACCATAGTAAAATTAAAAGGGGTCCTAACTAATAATTAATGGTTGGCCAAACCATTAATCATTAGAAAGGATTAAGAACCAATCACACTGGTTTATTTATTTATTACAGTCAAAAGACTATTTTTATTATCAGTAAAAATGTGTCATGTAATGGATTTTTCAAGCATATTTATACTTGGAGAATTACAATTAACATTATATTATCCAAATAATATACATTAAATCTAAAAATGTAACACTATACAACAATGCATAATTAGAAATATGAATATAAGTGAAATGTTAAATATATCCAGTTACTTGTTAGTACTGTAATCAGTGCGTAAAATATCTATTGAAATTTATCGAAAAATTTCTGAAAGTAATATTAATATATTAATATTATTCTCCAGCGCGAAAAAAAATGTAGTGTAACATAAAACATATTTTTTTAACGTGTGATTATAATCACATAAAATGAGTTCATTTTGTATATGGGTTTGGTAAAAGTAGCTCAAAACCAAGATACTCAGGGTATGTTTTATAAATATCATTTCTTTGTATAAAGTAAAGTTTACAAATAAATTTAAAGAAACTTTTAATATAACATCATTTCAGACAACATGTGGCAAAATGTGCGAAATGTGACAAAGGGTGTCAAAAGTCAAATTATGATAAAGATGACAAAAATATAAAATTCAATTTTATTTAGATTTAATTAAAACAAAAATTTAATTTTAAACATTTTTTTTTTTGTACACAAAGTTTTAGTAGTAATTGCTGCTTCACATCTATTGCTGCTTTCATAACTTTCTTTAAAATCTGTAGAATTATCTGATAACCCTGATTGTTGAAATCCTTCTTCATTTACTATTTTAATGAAGTGTAACCATACATCAGGCACAAGATGTCCTGTAGCTAATTTTTGATTATTGTTAAATGAATTTTCAGGTATATTATCTAATTTTAACATTTGCAAATTCATATTACATGATGATGATTGAGAAGGGAATCGGTGAGTTGGTGAATTTGTGAATTGGTAAATTGGAATTTGATATCATGAATTTTATTTACTCCATAATTTAAAATCTACAAAATAATTGGTTTCATCACCCAAGCTTGATATAAAATACACACACTTTATTGATTGAGAATTTGTTATTTTATTTACCATGAATTTTTTTCTTTTCAATTAAAAATAATAAGAATAATATTTTTGTTTTCGTTCATAGTAATAGAGCAAGTTATAAATACTCGATAAAAAATTTTATTATAATAAACTGTTTTTCAATAATTAATTTTGCAAATATTGCAAAAAAATATACTATTTTAACAAAAACAATAATATATTTTACTAATGTATATGGATGAAATATTATTCTATGTTGATAAAGCACAACTTAAAATAATGAACTCGCCTCATATTCAATCTTTCTTGTAGAATTTATTTCAGGTAATTCCAATAATGTTGATTGTATAGGTATCCCAAAATCCCAAAACTCTTTTTTCTTATACCACAAAAATTATATTACAAGACATAAATCTCCTATGAGTAAAAAGGACGGGAGAATTCTTTACCCAACAACCAGAACCACAAAAAGAAAATCCTTATAACCAATGATAAATATTGTACAAATTCATCATCACCTTTTCCACATTCTTCTCCTTTCTCTTCTTTTTTCTCTTTTCCTTGCGCAAATGATAATCTAAGCTCATCTTATCAACAACCAGAGCCACAACAAAAACAAATAGATAATAATAATAATGCAGATTATGTAATTTCATCATCATATTCTTCTTCTTCCTCTTCTACTTTTTTGTACACAAACTATAATACAAGCTCGTCTTTATCAATTACTACAAAAACAAGAAGATAATAATAATAATAACGATTGTGTAATTTCAACACCACTTTATTCGTACCCTTCTTGTTCTTTTTCTTCTTCTTGCGCAAATGATAATCCAAACTCATTACCTTCCACTTCTTTTCTTCCGTGTTATATTTTGTTTTATCTTACTCTTCCTATTAATTATGACAACAAAATCATCAATAAGACTAATGCTGTACTTCAATCCTCATAATTTAACATTACTACGAATTTAAATAATGGTGAAAATCTTCAAGAAGGATTTCAACAATGAACAAACAGATGCACAATTATATGAGAACTTGTTTGATTTTACTGTATTTTTGTAAAATACAAAAAGAAGAATTCTATATGTTCAAGATTGTTTACAAAATATTCATTCATGTCTATGTCTACATTGTTGTAATTGGTAAAAACACAATGTATAAAAT